TTTCCAGCAATCCTGCATCGTGTGCAAAGCAGTTAGCAGGTGAATGACACGCGTAGTGCGACCATAGGACTACACGGCAAACCGTCGCCGGAGAAGGCGCTGGAGCGATTGCCTGCCATCAGGCACTGGCTACCGTGCGTGAGGTGGAGGTGGGTGTGAATGTAGGTGGCCCATTGAGGAGGGGAGGGTTGAAGTAGGGGCCACCAACTTGCGCCAGGCTAGTAAGGCGTGACGAGAGTGATGGCGGCGCGAGTTCGTTTCGCGTGGTGGAGCACTGCTGGGATTAAGTGCGGTGGAGGGAATGCGTATCCCTGCTCGGAGGTCCATGGGATCGAGAATGCGTCAACTGCCGCTGCGTCTGGGTGCGGTGTTTTGGAGCAGAACCGAGGTAGCTTGGTATTGCTCCCATTTGCGAATAGATCGATTGAGTGCGGGCCCAGGCGGCGCTCGATGAGCCGGAACCAAGGTGTCTTTAGTGAGTAGTCGTCACGATCGAGCGCCTTGGAGAGTTCATCCGCCCGTGTGTTTAGTTCGCGCGGGATCCATTCGACCACGAGCCGAATCCGAAAAGTCATGCATGTCTGGATGATCGACTTGCACGTCGCTGTAAGGATGAAGAAAACGCCTTGGTTATCGGTCCTTGCGAGGACGTGCTGGTCGCGGATTCTTTCTGAAAACGTTTGGAGTGCCCATAGAACGCCATCTATCTCTCGCTGCGTGCTGGATGCCTCTAGCAGATGCTTCGGCATTGCCGCACTTGCCTCAATACGTCGTCCTGGGAACTTGTCCAACGTCGCTCCCCAATTGTGTGTGCTGGCATCCACATGGATGACGGCATCGTAGCTGTTGGGGACGTGAAATGGGGCGCCGTTGAATTTGTCGAACTCGTGGCGCCAAAAGTCCAGTTCTTCAATCGTCATAGGGTCCAGCAGCACTTTACTATTCCATGATGGTGCCTGCTGGATTGCCTGCAGCAGGCCTTGACTGAACGCTCGTGTCGTCGCCCCAAGAGCCAGTGACATGGATGCCAGCATGCCGGTGACTCTGGCGATGTGACGGACTGGGACCTTGCGTTCTGCCTTTCCTTCCCTCAGAAGGACTTGGAGGGTGGAGAGTAGTGAGGCTCAACGTTCAGCGCCGATAGAGAACTGACCACGGTCAGTGTCTAACTCGACGCCCAGGAAACGCAACTGCTGGGTCGGTTGTAGATGCGACTTTTTCGAGTTGATCACAAGCCCTCCCTTGTTGAGGTCATGTATGATTGATTGACATGTGGCTCGTGCTTTCGCTTCCGTGTCACAAAGGAAGAGGATGTCGTCGACATAAGGAATGACCCGTATGCCCATGGCTCGCGAGCGCCGAGCGAGTTGTTTGATCAGTTGTGTAAAAACGAATGGGCCCGTCGCGAGGCCGAACGGGAGCGAGCGGAATATGTATGTCTTTCCGTCAAATCGAAATCCCAGGTACTTCCAGCACGATGGGTGAATATCCACGTGGTGATACCCAGACTTTAGGTCGATAGAGAACATCCAGTCGCCCACGCGAGCGATCTCCGCAACCCGATTGAGCCCCTCGTACTTGAATTTTGGAATGCGCAGGTGCAGGTTCACTTGGCGGAGGTCGAGGATCAGTCGGCATTTCTCTCTTTGGACCACCACGTTCAGTGGGCTAATGCATACGGTCTGAGCCGCGGGGGCAAGAGCAGCTGCGCCGCTTTCTAGGAGCTCGCTAATAGCCTGTTTGGTAAACTGGGCGTGGATCTGTGCGCCCGCGTGATTGTCGCGCTGGAACGGCGCTGGGGGGATGAGTTCCCACAACATCCAGTAACCGTGAAGTATCACTGAGAGTATGAAGCTGCTGTCGCACCATGAGCTCCACCATGGGAATGCCAAGCGTAGCCGACCGCACATCCTTGTGACGAGCTTATCTGTGATCGCGTATTCGTAGGGGATGTGTCGCTCGCCCATCCCGCCATCCGGTGGATCTGTGCAACGGGTCGCAAAAAGGGCACAGGCTGTGAAGACGTTTTTTTTTTTTTTTTTTTTTTTTTTGCATCAGCTCTAGTTGCTATTAATACGAGTGCATGTACTAGCGAACAACGGGGCAGTGTATGGCCGAACCCTCACGAGGTAGGCCATTTACCCACCCTTCCCCTTCTCTTTCATATTGATACGTTCACCTCTCTCTCCCTTGTTGTTGTTGTTGTTGTTTTTTTTTTTTTTTTTTTTTTTTTTTTTGTCTTTCAACGCCTAATATACACGTCCTTAGGCTTGCCGTATGTGCACCTGAGGGCTCTCGATGTTCGACGAGCTCAGGGTGGGCTGCCGGATTGTGCTTTGCACATTTTTTATGATAACGTGCCTTGTCTCGTGGGCTCTTTGCCCATCGTGTCAATTGCGCGTAGTAATATGCTTCGTATGCCCTCCTTGTGCGCTTGTCGCGCAAATGGCCCTCTCGTGTCCCGTTAAATTGGGCTGGTGCTGGCCAAATAGTGTGGCCTCCTTAAGAGTCAACATCTTCATCATCTCACACTTCTCCTTGTCTTTCGTTCTTTCTCCTCTTCTCCCCCCCCTTTTTTTTTTTTTTTTTTTAGTACCTCAACCGCTTAGGCCTCACTCTTCGAGGGCTGCTCGCTTCAATAATCCAGGTTCCAATATTTTAAATTTCATTCATTAAGCCACACATCAACGATTGTCCACATGACTTGCCACTCCGGCCCATATTTCATGCTTTAACACGCATACAACTCATGATTGCCACCCATGGCTAAGTCCTAGGACTCCTAGTCCTACTCCCTTCCCTAGGGGTCGGCCGGCGGCCATTCTACTCGCCCCGCAGGGTCTGGCCAGCGGCCTAAGCACACCATGTTGCCCATGCAACGTGCTCTCGGCGCCCCAAGTGGTTTCCCTCTCATAGGGTCACACCACCGGCGCGGGTCCTTGGGCCCCTCGCCCATTATCGGGGCACATATTGGCCATGTGGCCGGGCTGTCCGCACTTGAAGCAGGTTCCACGAAAGCTCCTGATGTTGTTGTCCATTGGTGGACCACGTTTGTTGCCAAATGCACCGGTTCCTCGCCCTCCACCTCGTGCGGCGCGGCCGGGGTTGCCTTGGGCGCGTTCCATGGCCGCAACGTCCGCCATGGCTTGCTTGAATGGGCGCGAGGTGAACAAGCTCTTCTCTTCATACATCTTGAACCGGTTAGCGACGCGGAAATTCGTGTAATCGGCGACGTGGAGAAGCTTGAAACGATTATTGACGAGCGAGAGCGCCTCCTCGAGGAGTTCGATGGTGCTTGCCGGTTCGTTGAGCCGCACTTTCTGCTCCGCATGCATCAGGTAGGCGCGCAGGTCCTCAAGGAGCTCGGCTTGTTCACGAACAGCAGCGTTCTTGAAGGAAGATGCGGTGAGGTTAGGGTTGGAGGTAGGGAGGGGGGGGAGGTGCTCGGTGGTTGAAAAAAATGCATAATCGGCAGGTGCCTAACCAGCTTCGTCGTCGGAAGTGTCGCTGTCGGCGGGATTTTCTGGGGCCGGGGTAGCTTTGGCAGTGGTGCCCTCGGCGCGTGCGATTTTTGCCGTGCGAGCGCGTTTCACCGTCTCCCTTTTTTCCTTCGCGCTTTTAGCCGAAATTGACGTTTCGTTTGGTGTAGCGTTGGTTTCCGTAACGGCGGGAGCTTGCTGCTGTAACAGGGACAACAGCTGCTGCAGTTGGGCCAATGTGAAGACAGGCGAGGCCACAGGCGCGTCAGGGGCCTGGGGCGCGTCAGGGGCCTGAGGCGCGTCAGGGCCCACGTGCGCCTGAGGCCTCGCGTCAGGCGCGTGTGCCTGCCTGCGGCGCTGACGCTGACGGGGGGTGCCGGTCGCGCTGGCCGGCGTTGACTTGGCGCACTCGTTGACTGCCGGCGCCTCAGGCCCCTCAGGGGCCACTTGCGCTTGAGGCACCCCGGGGGCGCGTGCCCCAGCGCCGTCGGACAGCAGAATGTCGACGGCGGTCGGGGTCGACTCCTCGTCGTCTGCCCGACGCTTGTTCCGGCGTTCGCCCGCGGGTTCGCGGGTAATATTTCCGTCGTCGGGACGAATTGAAGCGTTGGCGGTGTCACCGTTCTCGCCGTTAAGTGCCATAGTCGCCGCGTTATGAGCGAAAATGTCCGAAAGGAGTGTGGGCGGAGACTGGAAACGATGTAGTGACTTCAATTTCGCCAGCTTGGAATTGGGAACTCGGAAACTAGGCTAAGCCGTTTGAAAATGAAAGACGTGGGTGGAGGGAAATGACCTCCAGCCCACGTTTTGTACTCCAAAACGGGCGTTTAGCGCGGTTCGCCGATGACCATTGCTACATTACAAGCCGCTTCGCTTTCAAAATACAAAATTTTGAAAAGCGTTACAGCTTTTAAAAATATTCATATTTATACTGTAAAATCCTTGCACATATTCGAAGGTACAACTCACACAAGCAAAAGAAGCGAAGAAATCAAAGCTAAAAACCTGTCCTAATGAACGATTAATCACACTTCTTTCTTATTTAATTCCTGCACACACAAAGGGACTCAGCAGGTCGTCAGCCATATGGTTCCTGGCCTCCAAGCAACCGCATGCAGTTGCTCGCACCTCTGCTCCTTCAGTCCCCTCCCCGCCATCTAACGTCCCTTTTGGCGCTGCCAGCAAGCGCCTCCTTATTCTTTGCCCATCCAACTAGGGCCCCTCGCTCTTCACTAGACCACCAGCAGTTTTGTAGTGAACATAATCAGCTCCCTGGATTGCAAAAGGCGCACAAAAGGGAGGCAGGAAAATATGAAACAAGTGACAGTGGACGGGATGGTAAGGGAGAAGAATGTGGATGGTGGAGGGATAGTTCAAGAGATACGAATGCTGGGGTGATAATGGTGGGGACAAGATGATAATTGCATTGTGGAGAAACACGGAGTATGAAAGTGCACAAGCAGCATAACATCACACGGGAGAAGGGGAGTTACAGAAGAGTGCAAAATAAGTCTCCCTTACGTGTGCACTTGTTCTTGCTCTTGTCCATTTTGAACCCCTGCTTGCACTGGCACTGCGGCGTTCCTTGCACCATCTTGCACTGGGCATTATCGGGGCAGCCAGACGTACATATGCCTGCCACATTATAACCTGGGGTGTGCGGGAGAAGCAAGGAATGGAGGATGAGCGGGGTTGACAGGGAGTAACCAGTTGGAACAAGAGCAAGGCAGAAAGGAGAGCATACTCTGACTTTTTCCCTTACGTGTGCACATGTTCTTGCTCGTGTCCATTTTGAACCCCTGATTGCACTGGCACTGCGCCCTTCCTTGCACCATCTTGCACTGGGCATTATCAGGGCAGCCACCCAGACATTTGGCTGCCACATGAAAATCGGGGGTGTGCGGGAGACAGGAGGAATAGAGGATGAGCGGGGTGGACAGGGAGGTATGCATGTGAGTAGATGTTGAAGTAGGAGCAAGGCAGAACGGAGGGCATACGCTGTCTTCTTTCTCTTACGTGTGCACTTGTTCTTGCTCGTGTCCATCTTGAACCCCTGCTTGCACTGGCACTGAGCCCTTCCTTGCACCACCTTGCACTGGGCATTAGCAGGGCAGGCAGATGAACATGCGGCTGCCACATGAAGAGGGATGGGAGCGGAGGAGAGGGGGTGTGTGTGGAAGGGGGGGGGTTGTTGCGGTAGACAGGAGAGATGAAGGATGAGCAGGGTCGATGGGGAGGGCAAAAATGAGAGACGACGGTTGGGATGGGACACAGGGTTTGTGAGAGAGAGGGACAGGCATGGGATGGGGACCATTCAGCTGCATATGTATCTCCGTCCCTTACGTGTGCACTTGTTCCTGCTGTTATCCATTTTGAATCCCGCCTTGCACTGGCACTGTGCCGTTCCTTGCACCATCTTGCACTGGGCATTAGCAGGGCAGGCAGATGAACATGCGGCTGCAAAATGAAATGATGGGGGGTGCAAGAGAGGGGAGCAAAGAAGAATGAGCGGGGTCGACAGTGAGGGCACACATGGAAGAGGACCATGCGTTGTCTCTCTCGCATACCTTTGCACTGCCTCTTGCTCTTGTCCATTGTGTAACCCGCCTTGCACTGGCACTGCGCGTTTCCTCCGACCACAGTGCATTGGGCATTAGCAGGGCAGGCCGGCTTGCACATGGCTGCCGGGGGTGGGAGAGGGGAGGGATTAGACTGAGTGGTAAGAAGAAGAGGGACAAGTGGTTGCCACAGAACACCCAATCACTCAATCTCCACTCATGTGCAAGCATCATGATCCCTTTGACTGTATCTAACGGCTGGACATTCTCTGAATCTAATGAAATTTCACATCTTCGCTCCTTCACTTCTGCAATTCTTCACCCCTTCACTTCTTGACCTCAACGCCCTTTAAAACAAAGTCCCTGGTGAGCTCACCAGTGCAGAGGCCGTTCGTCTTGGTGTAGCCGGCGTTGCACTGGCACATCCCCTGCCTGTTCTTCACAACGCACATTGAGTTCTTGTCACACTTCAGTGTGCCCGTCTTGCAAGGGATGTCAGCTGGCAAGGGTAGAGGAGGGCAAGCAGTTAGTGAAGCATCAGCTTGCCAGGCTGAGAAAGAGGCATTTCACTTTTCTGATTGTATCCAAGAGCAGCGGGTGGGCACGCGCACTAGGTTGAGTTAACTCTTGGCAGACATTCAACAAAAGACCTACCAGGATTGAAGGTCTTATCGCTGCAGATCTTCTCAGCCTCATTGGACACAGAGCCCCAGGGGCACTGGCACTGGGGCGTGCCGTCCTTCACAACGCACCCAGCAGCTCCGCAGTCCTTGTGGCACGTGGCTGTTGTGGGCACCCAAACGGAGGGACAAGCAACAACGCATTGCAAGGATTTAAGGCAAACAGAGCAAAAAAACAGCGAGCTGCCTCACTCTCTCTTCCCCAATCTCTCTCTCGTAATGGTGGTGCCTTTATCGGTATGATCTCAAGGAATAACAAGCATAAAAAACTCGCAAGTGCATCTTCAACCAGAAGTGGTATAAACAGAGTTGTGCGCATGAGTTAATTCGCATGTGCTTGCACTTACTGATCTCACAGCCAACTGATCCCGGCAAATCCATCGCTTTGACAGTCCTGAGAGGGGGAAAGGTATTCACGAGGAGCATAGATGAGGACAAATGTGATGCTTCCGCGCCATTCACACTAGGAAGTGGGAAACGAATTCTGGTGATTGGATTGCTTATTCTTCCCTCCTTTGCGCTAGAACCACAACAGGCAAAGCAACACATGACGTGGCGTGCAACACGGTCACACACCTGTCTGTGTTGTGGAAGGAATCACCATCCTTTGCAGGACGCGGGATGGTGAGGCCCGGCTTGTCCGTGCAGCCGGGGTTGTTGTAAAACGAGACGCTTTTGCACATGCCAATGCCGGCCCCTTGAAGACCGTAGGAGCTCCACTGGACGCTGATCTTGGTGTCGCCGCGCAGGCCGGAGCTGGAGGTGAGGTCGGAGCACACGGTGGTGCCGCTGGCTTGCGCTGCCGGCACGTTGGTGGTGAACTTGACGTTCTCCTGGACACCATTCGCCTGCAGCTGCACTGTCGTCTGGAGGAAGGGGCCTGGTGCCCACATCGTGGCCGTTGAGGGTCGTGTGGTGATGATGGGGGTGGGAAGACATCGAGGTGGTGGCGGCACAGTGGAAGGGCGAGGGAGAGAGTAAACAGGGGCGGAGGTGCAGGGAATGAGGAGAAGAAAAGAGCAAGTCCAAGTTCTGGTGGAATAGCACTCAGGCAGCAACGTTGCCAGCTGAAATGTGTTTTTATCCCGAAACGCCGGTTCACCACTGCAGTGCTCACCAGTGCAGCACTCACCGTAGCACGACTTGTCGGATTCGTAGAATTTTAGACCATTCGAGCACAGACACTCGGGGATGCCATTTCCCGACACTTGGCAGATACCACCCTTGAGGCCGCAATCCATGCTCGCACACGGGTCTGCAGAGAAGATCATGGGTTATTGCAAGGTGAAGAAAGAAAGCGGGAGTTGAAAGAGGGGTTTCATCTCTATGTGCAGTCGCCGACACTCCACCACTCACTTGCCGACACTCCACCACACACTTGCCAACACTCCACCACTCACTTGCCGGCACTTGCTGCAGGGACGGAAAATGTGGAGACTTGTTTGAATATGCTAAGATACATGACTGATGAGCACTGGACTGCCGTGGTGTGACGCCGTATTGAAGGTGAATACGGGAAACGGGTCACAAGAACGGATATTTTGCTAATGACGTCACACCCCACCCACACTCCGGCCCTTGCCCACATCCCAGTACTTACCCACAGAACCACTGCATGTATTGTCCGCATTGTTGAAGGTGGAACCGTCCAAGCACTCGCAATCACCAGCCGCATTGCACGTAGCCTCGGTCCCACACTTGCCGCCACACGCGTCTGCATAGGAAGTCACGGGAGGTTTCAAGGTAGAGTACGGAATAGGGGTGAGCAGAGACTTCGCTAATGACGTCACACCCACCCACACACCGTCCCTCGCCCACATCCCAGTACTTACCCACAGCACCACTGCATGTATTGTCCGCATTGTTGAAGGTGGAACCGTCCGAGCACTCGCAATCACCAGCCACATTGCACGTAGCCTCGGTCCCACACTTGCCACCACACGCGTCTGCATAGGAAGTCACGGGTGGTTTCAAGGTAGAGTACGGAATAGGGGTGAGCAGAGACTTCGCTAATGACGTCACACCCACCCACACTCCGTCCCTCGCCCACATCCCAGTACTTACCCACAGCACCACTGCATGTATTGTCCGCATTGTTGAAGGTGGAACCGTCCGAGCACTCGCAATTACCAGCCGCATTGCACGTAGCCTCGGCCCCACACTTGCCGCCACACGCGTCTGCATAGGAAGTCATGGGTGGTTTCAAGGTACAGTAGGAAAAACGGACCCGTTTAACGGTTACAAGAGTAGAGATTTCGCTAATGACGTCACACCCACGACACCGTCGCCAACATCCCAGCTCTCACCCAGGACATAGCAGCATCCGTCAAGGGACAAGGGGCCGAGAACGACTGAGAACATTTCCAAGCACATTCAGGAGGCTGAGCGTGAGAAACAAGAGGTGGAATCGAGAAAGGGGTGAGAAGACGTGGGTGAGAAGCGAGAGGGTGCGATGCAAGCGGATGAATAAACAGACGGAGGGATGAAAGAGTGAGAAGCAGTGGTGCCGTGCACCTGCCAGGTGTGCGGCGGGCAGACTCACCATCTTGAGCGTTGGCGTGCGTCGCGAGGAAGCTCATTGCAACGACCCGCTACGAAGGCGGCGAGGCCAAGTTGAAGGGCAGACCGCCTTTGCCCGCGGGGCTTCATGACGACAGGAGAGCGCCGCCCGTAGGAAGGCTTCATGGCGACAGCGTAGTCAGCGATCACAGCGGCGCGATGATGGTTGGCTTCAGCTATTCTTGCTCCCGCGAATGATCCCGTGAGGTCACGTCGTTGGTGGTTGCGAGGAGGTGACTCAAAATGGGACTCCGAGTCGGAGGTGGGACTCAGAAGGGAGGAGAGGAAGGCACACGATGAGTGATCAGCGGTGAGAACTTGAATGTGAATGGGGACTCCGACTCGGGTCTCGATTTATACATGTAGACTGAGTGGGTGCACAGACTGATGTATTGTTAGTACCAATAATTCAGTCAGCGCAATACCGCGCTCCTGGCCCCGGGAGGGGGGAGGGGGGGAAGGGGAAAAGAGAGAGGGGGGGATTGCCGCTGCGCCGAGGCCTGGGAACGTTGCATTAGGACTAGGCGATTGTGTATTATCTACGTAGATCACCGGAGGCCCCAGCGCGGGGCTAGTCAAACGCGTCATTTTAATTAAACGAGGCGGAATTCAACTCTTCGACGGGCGCAAGCTAGTAGTAACAGTAGCTCGCTCGAGGCGCAACATCATCAGCGGGACCTGCGCGAGTGTATTATATGATCTTGCTCGACATTCTGGGACTTGAATCGAGTTCAATTATATGAGTCAGTAAGGCCACAAAGGTATTCCAGTTCGAGCTCGCGCACACCACGTTCCGATAATGGCGGGGCTCCCGCGAGTGATGATGTTGGATGCTGATGCAATATCCGCATGCTGGTTTACGGGCGGGAGTCATTGAAGGCTGACTCAGCACGGATGTATTGCGATGTGCCTCTACGAACGTTTTGTTTTTTTTTTCCTGTGAGACGCTGAGGCTTGCGACGCTTTCATTGATGTCGGTGTTCGACATCAATGGAATTTCCCGTCCGTCGGTAGGACTAAATCCGTCGCAGCTGGAATCCGTCGCTCGCAAGACTATCGTCACACAGCCAGTTTTCCGT